GGGCAGTTTTTCCTCTCTCTCTCCCCCTCTGGGGCAGTTTTTCCTCTCTCTCTCTCCATCCCTGTCCCTGTCCCTGGTGTCTGTGCCTGCGGCGTGGCGGGAGGATTGTCAGGGCGTGGGGACTGAAGGGCCCCGCTCACCTTTAGCGGTGCTTCCTCCGCGTCAGCGCCCAGGCACAGGGAGGAGGCAGCGGGGGGGAAGCTGCCACTGCCCGCGCTCTGTCTGCTCTGTGGATAAACACAGGGATTCAGTCTCCAGGGCTGCAGCGATCCAGCACCTTCATCCCGACGCTGCTCCCGCACAAAAACCTCCGCACATGCTCCTCCTCCTGCCTCTGGGGGACGGGGGGCTGAGTTTGGGCTCAGTTTGGGGTTATTTTGCTTTTTTTTCTTTTTTTTTTTGTGGTGGTGGTTCCTGAATTTCCCCAGAATTTCCCCTCTCCTTGAGGAATCTTTTTTTTTTGTGGTGGTGGCTCCTGAATTTCCCCAGAATTTCCCCTCTCCTTGAGGAATCTTTTCTCACTCCCCTCCTTGAGGAAATTCCCTCCTTGAGGAAATCTTTTCTCACTCCCCTCCTTGAGGAAATCTTTTTTTTGTGGTGGTTCCTGAAATCCCCAGAACTTCCTCTCCTTGAGGAAATCTTTTCTCACTCCCCTCTCCTTGAGGAATCTTTTTTTTTTTTGTGGTGATGGCTCCTGAATTTCCCCAGAACTTCCTCTCCTTGAGGAATCTTTTCTCACTCCCCTCTCCTTGAGGTAATCTTTTCTCACTCCCCTTCTTCAGGAAATCTTTTCTCACTCCCCTTCTTCAGGAAATCTTTTCTCACTCCCCTTCTTCAGGAAATCTTTTCTCGCTCCCCTCCTTGAGGAAATCCTTTTTTTTTGTGGTGGTGGCTCCTGAATCCCCCAGAATTCCCCCTCTCCTGGAGGAATCCTTTTCCCCCCTCCTGGAGGAATCCTTTTCCCCCCTCCTGGAGGAATCCTTTTCCCCCCTCCTGGAGGAATCCTTTTCCCCCCTCCTGGAGGAATCTTTTTCCCCCCTCCTGGAGGAATCTTTTTCCCCCCTCCTGGAGGAATCCTTTTCCCCCCTCCTGGAGGAATCCTTTTCCCCTCTCCTGGAGGAATCCTGCCCCCCTCACCTCGTCCTGCTCCTCGTGCTCCAGGATGGCCTGCAGGAAGGCTCGGCGCTCGTGGCTGGAGGATTTCTGGTCGAACATCCCCGCCTGGATCACCTTCTGGTCCACGTTGAGCTTGTACTTGGCAGCTGCCAGGATCTTCTCCTCCACGCTGTTGACGGTGCAGAGGCGAAGGACCCGCACCTCGTTCTGCTGCCCGATGCGGTGGGCGCGGTCCTGGGCCTGCAGGTCCTGGGGCAAAGGGGCAGCCGTGGGCAGAGGGGGCCCAAAACCCCGGGGTTTATCCCCAAAACCCACGGGAGGCACTCAGGGATCCCCGAGGATCCCATAATGGGATCACCAGACCCATGTAGGGCCTGGGGGAAGGGGCAGCCGTGGGCAAAGGGGGCCCAAAACCCCGGGGTTTATCCCCAAAACCCATGGGGGAGGTGTGGGATGAGCCCAGAGGGAGCTCAGGGGTGACAAGGATCACCAGACCCATGTAGGGCCCGTGGGAAGGGGCAGCAGTGGGCAAAGGGGGCCCAAAATCCCGGGGTTCAGCCTCAAAACCCACGGGAGGCACTCAGGGATCCGCAAGGATCCCATAATGGGATAGCCAGTCCCATGTAGGGCCTGGGGGAAGGGGCAGCCGTGGGCAAAGGGGGCCCAAAACCCCGGGGTTTATCCCCAAAACCCACAGGAGGCACTCAGGGATCCCCAAGGATCCCATAATGGGATAGCCAGTCCCATGTAGGGCCTGTGGGAAGGGGCAGCCGTGGGCAAAGGGGGCCCAAAATCCCGGGGTTCAGCCTCAAAACCCACGGGAGGCACTCAGGGATCCCCAAGGATCCCATAATGGGATCACCAGACCCATGTAGGGCCATGACCAAGGGGGCCCAAAATCCCGGGATTGAGCCTCAAAACCCACGGGAGGCACTCAGGGATCCCCGAGGATCCCATAATGGGATCACCAGACCCATGTAGGGCCTGGGGGAAGGGGCAGCCGTGGGCAAAGGGGGCCCAAAACCCCGGGGTTTATCCCCAAAACCCACGGGAGGCACTCAGGGATCCCCAAGGATCCCATAATGGGATCACCAGACCCATGTAGGGCCATGACCAAGGGGGCCCAAAACCCCGGGGTTCAGCCTCAAAACCCACGGGAGGCACTCAGGGATCCCCAAGGATCCCATAATGGGATCACCAGACCCATGTAGGGCCATGACCAAGGGGGCCCAAAATCCCGGGATTGAGCCTCAAAACCCACGGGGGAGGTGTGGGGATGAGCCCTGAGGGAGCTCAGGGGTGACAAGGATCACCAGTCCCATGTAGGGCCCGTGGGAAGGGGCAGCAGTGGGCAAAGGGGGCCCAAAATCCCCGGGGTTCAGCCTCAAAACCCACGGGAGGCACTCAGGGATCCCCAAGGATCCCATAATGGGATAGCCAGTCCCATGTAGGGCCTGTGGGAAGGGGCAGCCGTGGGCAAAGGGGGCCAAAAACCCTGGGATTTATCCCCAAAACCCACGGGGGAGGTGTGGGGATGAGCCCTGAGGGAGCTCAGGGGTGACAAGGATCACCAGTCCCATGTAGGGCCCGTGGGAAGGGGCAGCAGTGGGCAAAGGGGGCCCAAAACCCCGGGGTTCAGCCTCAAAACCCACGGGAGGCACTCAGGGATCCCCGAGGATCCCATAATGGGATCCTCAGACCCATGTAGGGCCTGTGGGAAGGGGCTGTGTTAAACAAAAGGTCCCCAAAATCCTGGGTTTGTCCCCAAAACCCACAGAGGGGATGTGAGATGAGCCCTGAGGGAGCTCAGGGGTGACAAGGATCCCATAATGGGATCACCAGTCCCATGTAGGGCCTGTGGGAAGGGGCAGCCGTGGGCAAAGGGGGCCCAAAATCCCGGGGTTCAGCCTCAAAACCCACGGGAGGCACTCAGGGATCCCTGAGGATCCCATAATGGGATCACCAGACCCATGTAGGGCCTGTGGTAACCAAAGGGGGCCCAAAATCCTGGGATTTATCCTCAAAACCCACGGGAGGCACTCAGGGATCCCCAAGGATCCCATAATGGGATCACCAGACCCATGAAGGGCTATGATCAAGGGGGTCCAAAATCCTGAGATCTGGCCCCAAAACCCACGGGAGAGGTGTGGGATGAGCCCTGAGGGAGCTCAGGGGTGACAAGGATCCCACAATGGGATCACCAGACCCATGTAGGGCCTGTGGGAAGGGGGGCAGCTGTGGGCCAAAGGGAGCCCAAAATCCCAGGATTTATCCTCAAAACCCACAGGGGAGATGTGGGATGAGCCCTGAGGGAGCTCAGGGGTGACAAGGATCCCATAATGGGATCACCAGACCCATGTAGGGCCTGGGGGAGGGGGCTGTGTTAACCAGAGGGTCCTAAAAACCCTGGGTTTGTCCCCAAAACCCACAGAGGGGATGTGGGATGAGCCCTGAGGGAGCTCAGGGATGACACAGACCCCACAATGGGATCACCAGACCCATGTAGGGCCTGTGGTAACCAGAGGGTCCCCAAAACCCTGGGTTTGTCCTCAAAACCCACAGGGGAGGTGTGGGATGAGCCCAGAGGGAGCTCAGGGATCCCCAAGGAAAACAGGGATTCAGCAATGGGATCACCAGGACCTGCAGATCCCATCCCATGGGGCAGGGGGTTGGATTTTAGGTCCATGGGTGAGTTTTTGGGTGGGTGGGTGGGTTTTTGGTTGGGTTTCTGGGTCACTGGGTTGTTTTCCAGATCCATGGGTGAGTTTTTGGGTGGGTTTCTGGGTCACTGGGTTGGTTTTTGGGTGGGTTTCTGTGCCAGTGAGTTGATTTTTAGCTCAATGGGTGAGGTTTTGGGTGGGTTTCTGTGTCAGTGAGTTGATTTTTGGGTCAGCAGGTGAGGTTTCTGGTGGCTGGGCAGGTTTCTGGGTGGGTTTCTGTGTCACTGAGTTGATTTTTGGGTCAGTAGGTGAGGTTTTGGGTCAGTAGATGAGGTTTTGGGTCAGTAGATGAGGTTTTGGGTGGGTTTCTGTGTCCCTGGGCTGTTTTCCAGGCCCATAGGTGAGTTTTTGGGTGGGTTTCTGTGTCCCTGGGTTGGTTTTTGGGTGGGTTTCTGTGTCCCTGGGCTGTTTTCCAGGCCCATAGGTGAGTTTTTGGGTGGGTTTCTGTGTCCCTGGGTTGGTTTTTGGGTGGGTTTCTGTGTCCCTGGGCTGTTTTCCAGGCCCATAGGTGAGTTTTTGGGTGGGTTTCTGTGTCCCTGGGTTGGTTTTTGGGTCAGTAGGTGAGGTTTTGGGTGGGTTTCTGTGTCAGTGAGTTGATTTTTGGGTCAGCAGGTGAGGTTTTGGTGGCTGGGCAGGTGCCTGGGTGGGTTTCTGTGTCACTGGGTTGGTTTCTGGTTGGGTTTCTGTGTCCCTGGGTTGATTTTTGGGTCAGTAGGTGAGGTTTTGGGTGGGTTTCTGTGTCAGTGAGTTGATTTTTGGGTCAGCAGGTGAGGTTTTTGGTGGCTGGGCAGGTCTCTGGGGTACCTGGTGCGGGTTCCAGTCGCTGTCGAAGATGATGACGGTGTCGGCCGACTGCAGGTTCAGCCCCAGCCCCCCCGCCCGGGTGCTCAGCAGGAAGATGAAATACTCTGAGCCCGGCTCGTTGAACGTCTTCAGCAGCATCCCCCGGTCCTCCGCCTTCGTCGTCCCTGCAACACACACACCCTCACCTGGGGGGCACTTGGGGGGCCAAGGGGGTTAAACCCTGACCTGGGGGGCTCAGGAGATGATCTTTGGGGTCCAAGGAGGTGTTTGGGGGGTGTTAGACCCTGACCCAGGAGGCTTGAGAAGGCACTTGGGGGTCTAAGGGGGTGTTTGGGGGGTGTTAAACCCCGACCTGGGGGGCTCAGGGAGGCTTTTTGGGGTCCAAGGGGGTTAAATCCTGACCGGGGGGGGCTTGAGGAGGTACTTGGGGGTCTGGGTTGATTTTTGGGTTGGTTTTGGTGTTGCTCAGTTGGGTTTTGGGTTGGTTTTTGGGTGGTCAGGAGTGGAAGCCCAACCTGGGGGCTTGAGGAGGCACTTTGGGGTCCAAGGGGGTTAAATCCTGACCTGGGGGGCTCAGGGAGGCAATTTGGGGTCCAAGGGGGTTAAATCCTGACCTGGGGGGCTCAGGAGATAATCTTTGGGGTCCAAGGGGGTTAAATCCTGACCTGGGGGGCTCAGGGAGGCACTTTGGGGATTAATCAGGAGATTAATTTTATACCTTGCTATCCACCCTGATATCTTGATCTCCACTTTGATATCTTGATATTCACATTGATGCCTTGATATCTACCTTGATACCCACTTTGATATCTTGATTTCCACCTTGATATCTTGATATCTACCTTGATACCTTGATCTCCACCCTGACACCTTGATATCTGCCCCGATATCTACTTTGATACCTTGATATCCACCTTGATATCAACTTTGATACCTTGATCTCCACTTTGATACCTTGATCTCCACCTTGATCTCCACTTTGATATCTTGATCTCCACCTTGATACCCACCTTGATATCTTGATCTCCACCTTGACACCCACTTTGATACCTTGATCTCCACTTTGACACCTCAATCTCCACTTTGACACCTTGACCTCCCCCTCCACACCCCCCTCTCCCTGACCCCCCATCCCTTGGGATCTCCAGACCTGTTCCCAGGAGCCTCCCCCTCCCACATCCCCCCCTGCAGACCCCAAAACCCCCACCGAGGGTCACCCACCGTCCAGCCTGAGGTATTTGAAGCCTCTGTAGGCGAAATAATCCTCCATGATGGTCATGAGGGAGGTCATCTGGCAGAAGAGCAGCACCTTGTGGTTGGTGGCCCGGAGCTTGGGCAGGATCCGGTCCAGGAGCTCGAACTTCCCGGAGGCGCGGTACAGATCCAGCCTGGAGCGGGTGGGAACGGGTCAATCCGGGGGAAAAAACGGGATTGGGGCAGTTTTGGGGGGTCCCGGGTCACCCCTGGAGCCCCTGGAGTTTGGGAATCCCCCGATTTCCCCACTGGGAACCCCCCGAATTCCCGACTCACCCCTGCACGATCCCGCCCGTGAAGCCCAAGTGCTCCGAGAAGGATTCCTGGGGTGGGGGAGAGAAAAGGGGTCAGGAACAGACCCAGACTGGGCCTAAACCTGCCCTAAAGCCTCACCCAGGGCTGGCCAGGGCCAAGGCCCCACTCCCTGCCCTGTTCCCTCGGGAATGGATCCCTTTGGGTGGAAAACAGAGCCATGGAAGGGGGGTTTGGTTCATCCCTGTCAGGTTTAATCCTGGTTTGGTTCATCCCTGTCAGGTTTAGTCCTGGTTTGGCTCATCCCTGTCGGGTTCAGACCCATTGGGTTGGGTTTAGCCCCAGTTTGGTCCATCCCTGTTTTTGTCCATCCCAGGTTGGTTTATCCCTGTTTTTGTCCCTCCCAGGATGGTTTATCCCTGTTTTTGTCCCTCCCAGGTTGGTTTATCCCTGTTTTTGTCCCTCCCAGGTTGGTTTATCCCTGTTTTTGTCCCTCCCAGGTTGGTTTATCCCTGTTTTTGTCCCTCCCAGGATGGTTTCTCCCTGTTTTTGTCCATCCCAGGATGGTTTATCCCTATTTTTGTCCCTCCCAGGTTGTTTTTATCCCTGTTTTTGTCCCTCCCAGGTTGGTTTTATCCCAGTTCTGGCCTATCCAGGTTGAGTTTCTCCCTGTTCTGGCCCACCCCTGCCCCGAGGAGGCCCCACCTCGATGTGCTGGAACATGTAGGGGTGGTTGCAGATCTTCCTCAGCTGCATGATCGTGTTCATCAGGGTCTTGGTGCCGCCTTTGCCCTGCGGGGAACGGCCCAGGCCGGGTTAAAATCCGGGATGGGGGCGGATCCCCCTCCCCACCCGCCCTCCCAGCATTCCCAGGAATTCCCTGGCAGCCCCCTCAGAGCCCACCAAAGGTTTTTAGGGCACCTCCAGGTCCCCTGGAGGGGGGAGCAGAGGCCGCTCCGACCCGGCTGGTTCGGGGGAGCGGAGCCGGAAAATTGGGAATTTTGGTTTGGAAAACGGGGAATTCCGGCTTTTCCTCTGGACCCAAACGCCTCTTTCCCACTTTCCCACCATTCCATCCTCCTCACACACCCACTGGGGGCTTTGAGGAGCCACCTGGAGCCTTGGGGGATCCATGGGATTGTCCTCATGGATCATCTGGAGCTGCGTCGGGGGGGCCCGAGCTCAGCCCACCCCCTCCCTTGGCTTCCAAAGGGGGCTCCAGGGCCACTTCCAATTGATCCAGGGCCACTTCCAACTGATTCAGGGCCACTTCCAATTGATCCAGGGCCACTTCCAATTGATCCAGGGCCACTTCCAATTGATCCAGGGCCACTTCCAGCTGCTCCAGGGCCACTTCCAACCCCTCCAGGGCCACTT